TTTTCTTTCTCATTTCATTTAAACTTCAGTTAGGAATAACAAAATCAGAGAAAAAGAATTCAAAGCTCATTAGGAGTAGTAAGTAATTGGGTTGGAAATTAAATGGCAGTATACAAACGACTCCCTATTAAAGAAGAAATATATATGAGTAACTTCATTATAAAATTGTTATTAAATTTTTTCAGCGAAAACTCACACACAGCATTCTAAAAGAAATTTAGTAACACCCCGATCCAGAGAAATCATTTTTTTTTTAATAAAAAAAGGATGACAAACGAACACAACAAATATTCAAATATTTTAATCACTATTAACTTTTTTTTCTATCTTTACAAAAAACGTTACGCCCACAGTAGGATTTCCTTCTGTATCGTGGAGGCAGTTTACGAACATAAATTGCACAAAGAAAAACATCCAGACCCGTTACCATTATTTGTAGGCCATACAAATACTTGTTCCGTGCGGGATTCAAACCCGCGGCCCCCAGCAGCGCTGCAACTAATTGCTAAGCCACTGCGCCACAGAGCCGTCAATTTAGATAGTGGGAGCCACTTCCATTGAAAATCAATGGTAATTATGAATTCTTTTTATAAATCTCTATAACTGTTTGAAGTTGTTGATATACTTATATCTTAGTGTTTCGATCTCCCGAAAACAAACAATTACGAGTACATAAAACGTCACACATTCAAAAACATTCAAGTTTTAAAAGAATTTATCGGACGCAATTTGAAGCAAACATATATAAACAATTCGCAATTCGTTTAAACTTAGGTGGTAACTTACCACGTAGTGGCGTGGTAAAAATATCCACTACCCCATATCATCCCGTGGGTGTCCTAAGAGGCGACAGAGGGAAACAATCATCAGAAGGGCAGCAGCGTCGCCTAATAACGACTAAAATAATTTGCCAAAAATTGTCAAATATCACCCATATGAGGCAATCTATGGGGGGGTCTATTATCAGCAGTGGACCTTAATAGGCTGTAAGGGAAGGGTAGGTGGTAAAACTCTATTACTGCTTAGTAGCCCGGCAGGTACCGTCCTCTTACCTACTTCTGCCGTCAAAATGCAGTGCCAGCACCGCTGTGTTCTTCTCTGAAGGATCTGAAGGATCAAAATTACAGGCTGCAAGGCATTATATCTAAATCCTCAGAAGTGATAACCTCTTTGTAACTTGTAGTTCTCAATGGGCTGCAGTGCCACCTACCATCAGATGTACTGTAACTGTGTTCATTTATCGCTTCAATTTTATATAATTTAAAATAAAAAATATTTACTTCAATATAAATTATTAAGAAAAACTCAAAAATTATTGGTCTGATCTTAATCAAATTCATATGGGACTACATGTAAAGCACCAGCTTTCAAATAAAAAAAGAATCATCGAAATCGGTTCACCCAGTAGAAAGTTATGAGGTAACACACGTAAAAAATATACCGTCGAATTGAGTACCGTCTCCTTTTTGAAGTCGGCAAAAAATACAACAATTGTTTTTAGCCGAATACCAATGTTAGATAATATTTTTCATCAAAATATTAATATGCTGGACAATTTGAATACTATAAATATAATTTAAAATCAAAAATCTATACTTACGTCTTCTTGGTGCGTTTTCGAATTGAAATGTAACATCCAACTCGGATGCAACTTCATTTTTCTTCATAATGACCTCGAGTTTTCCTATACTATGCCTGTGGAAGAGGCCATAGTCCACTCTTGAGAAATTCATATAAATCCCTGCAGGTTTATACGAGAGTTCAATTGTTGAACAGTTATTTGTAAGTTGACCGTCGCTAGAATAGCGATATGCTTGATACCAGGTACCATCAAACTGTAAATTAAAATTAAATACTCAATTTTATAATTATTTACATATTATTAAAATATACCCCGTATAATGACGGTTTTAGAATAGCCACTACCCCATATCATCCCGTGGGTGTCGTAAGAGGCGACAGAGGGAAATAATTCAGAGAATGGGCAACAGCGTCGTCCTAATAAGGCCTAAAAATAAAAAACTTCGGTTGCCAACCCTCTTGCCAAGCATGGCAACTATGGCAAATATCCCTATGAAACAATCTATGAGGGAATTCTATGTTCAGCAGTGGACTTTAGTAGGCTGTAAAATATACAATATTTATCACAAAATGCACACACAAACTGTGTGTACCTTCTAAAGAAAAGTAGATGCCGTGGTCCATAGACACCTAAATCTATCATCACATGTTCTGCCACTCCTGAATACTTAGATGGAATGCCATTTAATAATGCCATAAATTGCCATACAAGACGCTAACATTTAAAGGGCTTCGGTTTTATCACTCACCATATGAAACACATGAAGCATTACGTTGCTACTTTACCCTCGTATCCCGTGAGATTGTGGTTCTTCCCCAGTTGGGCCGATACAATAATGCTGCGACAAGAATACAGCTGCAACTTGGTTCTAACACTTAATAAATTTAACTAATAAAATATGTCTGCATAGCTTACCTCAGCCAAGTTAAATTCTTCTTGCAATTTCACATTTTCAGGACATTTTCCGGGTAGTGTAAAATATCCACTAACGAATTTTATACATATAAATATTGTTATGGTTTTAATTATTTCCATTTTAACAAAGGACTGTTGCCATACGAGCTCTTTGGTGTAATCGACAAAAGTTTCTGAGTTATTAATAATATTTAAAGTTAAAGGTTATCTATGAATATAATATTTAGTAAATATTGGAGATTGTTAATTCAAGGTATGAGAGTTGTTGTAGTCTAAATATGTTATTTTTCTACTATATACATAATTATTGTACTTCTTTTCCTTTACGAGCGACCCGTAAGAGTTACTGCTGGGCATAGGTTTCTCATGTTGTATTGTTGGTTTATTGCAATTTGCTATAATAGTCATACTTATCAGGGGGATTGACGAACGCAGTACCAGATATCTCCCACCTTTTTTTATAGAATAGGGACGACAAACAGATTCCACCTGATGGTAAGTGGATTCTACGGCCCGTAGATATTTACATTTATTCTTGATTAAGAATCAGAATCCAGACGCGTTGTCACCCCTGATTACTAAGATGGAATGCCTCGTTTCCAATAATAAGGGTCCGGTTCTCTATAATCACCAAACGAAACAAAGCAACATTGAGCTACTATTCTACGTCGGTATTATGTGAGTGTGTGGTCCTTCCTCGGTTGAGCCGACCCATTCATGTTACAACCATGATATAGCAGCGTGGCATCTACCACGTATAACTGCCCGTCACCAGTTTGGGCATTTTACATCCGATTATACTGCCATCTATGGATGGGTAAAGGAACCAGTACCATTTTAAATTGTATATTATACTAGCTGGTCAGGCAGACGTTGTTCTGTCCTTTTCGACGACCCTTCCTATGAAAAAATCCTTAAATTCGCAATGAAAAAATATTGAAGATCACTTACCGGGAGAAAAAGTATCCTATCTCTCAAGTTGGACCAAATTGCACACATTGTGCAAAATTTCAATGAAATCAGTTCAATAGTTTAGGAGTTCATCGCGGACAAACAATGTGACACGAAATTTTTATATTTAAAGATAGTATGTAGTATATCTTAGTATTTAGGGTTCACGACGCATACGTGGTCTCTTTGTTTGTGGTTGGTTGCAAGTTTGATTGCAAGTTGCGTAACTGCTACTAGTTGGCAGGACTACTTTTCTGCTTAGGAGTCCGTCTGAGTGGATACTACCTTCTTAGTTACTTTTGAGGCCAAATAACAGTGCTTGCACTGCTCTGTTTCTGTCTGAAGGGTAAACAGACCCAGTATAATTACATGCTATGAGACATTCCAACTTAATCCTCAGAGTTGATAGCGCATCTTTAGCTTTCTATGTTTGAAGTTAACTTCTATTGTTTATCGGAGGCAGTAGCCACCACGGAGCAAATACAAAGAGGAGATGGCTTAGGCAACTGTGCACTGTGATTCTAACTAGGTCCTGACATCATCACAGTGTCCTTTACTTAGTATGCTGTCAGCATTCGTACTGTGCGCTTATATGTCAAAAATTGCAAATCGATGTATTTTCGTAGTATTAAGAAGAAAAGGATGAAGTGTTCTGAATGAAGTGCTCTGATGCTATGGATGGCGTCTCATTTTATTTGTAAGTAATTTTATACCTAATTTATTAAAAAGGTTCTAGAAAAATTTCTAGGACGGCTTTCAAATGTAATTAAATATATTCATAGACACTAGATGGTGACACTTTGTGTCATGGGAACTAGAAATATATAGATAGTCATAATGTGAACAGGCCACCATCTATCGTCAAGGTAGCCAAACTACATTGCAACGTCGATATGGAACGATGCGAGTAGTTTTACTATTTATTGGTAGATGGAAAATAGTAAAGCGGGCGGGGCTTAATATATTATTAAATTTCACTATGTAAATACCCCGCAAAGTGTCACGCGTTTTTACATAGTGAAATTTAATTACAACACCTCCTCTTTGTATTTGCTCCGTGGTAACGACTTAGCATCAAGTGGATTTAAAGTTGTTTGTCACTTCAAGCGGACCGAGTTCTCACATAACATCTAAATAACTGTCAGCTGTAATATCACACTATATTTTCATTCATTTAATATAGTTAATTCAGATTAATTTACTTAAAATCTAAAATTTATCCTTTGATTTTAAGTACCTAATTTATGATTAATTTACTGTTTTTTCTAATGCTATCAAATTACAACTATATTAAAGTGGCTATTATAAGTTATCAAAATTCCAGTTTTATTATTAAAAAGTTTTCAAATTATTACAATTCCCAAAGGAAGTTTATAAACGAAACCAAATTATAATACTTCAATTCAAAGACCAATTTCAACGTAAATCGTCTTTACAAGTAGACGGGGGTCATATCATTGGATAATTATCGCGTGGGATGCGCCCCGATCATCATTTCATACCACATTCTCGTACTGGTCACTTGTTTTTTTTTTTATTGTTATCACTAACAATGTTATTAATAATCGCTTGTTTTTATTTGATACACTCGGTAATCGCCGCAGAATTCATTCTGCCCGGAGAATGTCCTAATGTGAAGATACAGGAGAACTTAGATTATACGAAGGTACCATTTTTTGTATTATTTTATTGTTTTACATTTATCAAGCACTTATTATCAAACATAATGAATAATGTCTTAACTTACACCAGGTTAAATTTAACATCATTATTATCAAGCCGTAAAAGGTCGACTTTCAATACTCTTCACAATCGGACATGTTTATGCATTAGTGATAGCAACAATTTTCTCGTACTTCTTTTATTTTTAATTTTTGTCACTGGCCTGTTAACATTTTTTTTTATTTTTACAATAGTTTTACTAAAATTTTGTATTATTTGCCTCTGGAAAACCTGTTTCTTTTTTCTATTAATCAAAACTATGTGACATCCACGGAACAAATGGAATCGTCTCCCTTATGCCGCTACGACGGCTTGTGTTTAGAATATCTATTGATATTATATAATGATAATAAGATTTTATAGTTTTTTTTTCTTCAGAAATCTAACTTTATACTATAACTTCTTTCGACAAACAGCTCAACAGTTGGTTGGCGAAAAACATGCTGTACTTACTTTGACATTTCACTTTTAACTGTTGTTTTTGTACGTATCATAAACTAATTTATATGAAAATAAAACAGCTTATCTATGTACTTAATTATATTAAAGATGTTAAAAATTAATCAGCTACGATCCGCGTAATAAAATAAAATAACTTGTGTGTGACCTAGCCTGAAAAGCTACCGCTAATATTTTTTTAAATATTTATTATAATGGATTTCCGCAAAGTAACGCCCGATTCTATTGATTACTTAATTATAAAAAATTAAACAATTTTTTTAACTAAAAATAAAGATTTATTTAAAATTTCTATAACTGAATGTTTTAATAACCTTAATTTAAATTTATTTAAATTTTGTTTTTGTAATAAGTATTGTCATAATGGAACTATGATCGCCGATCAGATTACTACGGAGGTTTTATGGAGTGACGTTATCAGTAACTGTCAACTATGCACAAAATAATGCCAAAAGTGTTTGCGCTACTACTACACCACAGAGTACCTTTATATATACTGAAACTACACTACTCTCTTTAATATATTTGGAGACTCATTTTAATAGATTTAGTTCATAATATTGCATAGCTTTGTGAGGTAAAAATCAGGAAATGTATATGCAGAAATCGAACAGTATGTGTTTTAAAATAAATGTTGACTGTAGTCGAGATTTGAAGCGAGTATTCTGCAACTTAGACTTAAATTGTGAGGTAGTTAGGTGGTACTTGAATTTTCTCTGAGATGTAGAAAGAATTAGGTGAAAAAATTTACTGCAGTTTTCAGGTCTTTGGTACAATGTTGCAAGCTATGCCAGTGACGGCCGTCCGATCTACGATTGCGCCATACTAAACTTTCAAGAGGACAATCTTGGTTATACACTCAGAGAAACGTACGTGAGCACAGATCAGGGAAATCGCACTCAGAATTCGTATTTTGCACGAGTAGATCCAACATTTGATGCAGGCAACAAGGCTCAGTTTATTGTTAGTCATGAGAATGGTGGTAAGTAGTAGTTTGGATTTGCTTACATATTTCATTTTCTAGTCATTGAAATGGTTTTCTATAAGATTGGAATAAATTAGAAAAATCTACTAAGGTAACTTTTGATAACTATCTTCGTCATGACGATGTTAAAAACAAGCAAAGTTACAGTTTTACCTTTAGCTTAAAAAATCCACGCAGCATTGCTGTAGGTGGTGCTTATATAGACTAACTTCTAGGGAGATGGTGAGCTACACCACCATGCTCGACATAGCAGCGATTTAAATTATGTCATGTTGCTTGGAAATCGAAAAGAAATCAACTCCATTTACATGGACAGTTTTAATAGTTGTAGTAGAGAAAGAAAGAAAGAAAAACATTGACATACACACCAAAAAAAAAACAGAGAGGTGTAGGAGGTACCACAACTTCTTAGGATTTAACATAATTTGATCTATTGTTATGTAGTGTATGGGCCTTCCCATCCATTTAATATATAAATGTAATGTTGGACGCTTTAGAGCCGTGGTAGCTCAGATGGTTAGCGTTCGCTGTTAATTTAACAGTACGCGAGCATCCCGGATTTGATCTCCGCCACCACCAATGAAATTGTAAATTGCAATTTTAAGTGCTGATTTACCACGTGTTCAGCTGTGAAGGAAAATATGGTGAAGAAACATGCATGTCTGAGAAATAAAAAAAAATATTTCGAATACATGTGAAATTCACCAACACGCATTGGGGCAGCGCGGCGGACAATTCCTTGTCCTAAAACAATATCAGAAATGAGAGGAGGCCTGTGCCCAGCAGTGAGACGTATATAGGCTGTAACTTAAAGTTTTTTTTTTACTTTAATGTTGCATGATTTAAGTTTTATAAATTATTATTTTTTAATTGAAATAATACAAGTAACAGCTTAATCCCGTACTATTTATATTTATTTTTATGAAATTTTAATATCCACTCATCTTACCGCCATTTATCGCCCAATCTGTATAATTTCAGATAAAGTACTCCAGTTCCCGTTCTTCATTTTGTCTACGGACTACGATAACTACGCTATCACTTATACCTGCAAAACTCTAAAGAAGAGACAGCGTACACATTATGGTGATTATAAAATTATTTGTATACAGCTATTAATTCGAGCTGAATCTAAATGACAGGGTGAGAAATAGTGTGATGAGAGAAAAGTGTGGTTTGCAAGATGACGTTGTGAGCAGGATTAAAAAAGGAATGCTTCGGTGGTTTGGTCATGTAGAGAGAATGAACGAGGAAAGAGTGACAAAGCAAATTTATGTTTCAGAAGTGAACGGCAGAGTCGGGAAGGGACGCCCTAGACGAAGATTTATCGACCAAATCGGCGATACAAAAAGGGCCAGATTAGGAGTACCCTTAACCGACGAGCGTGTATGCAAAGGAGGATGTAAAGGAGGCGAGAGAGGTGTGTCAGAATCGCGCCAAATGGGAGTCCGTAGTCTCTGCCTACCCCTCTGGGTGACAGACGTGAGTGTGTGTGTGTGCTTGTGTGTGTGTAATTCGAGGTGTCGTAAGAGACGTTTATGTCACAAAAATCTTATGGCTACTCGTTTGTGCTAGAACGAAAATACACCGACCGGCCAACAGTACTTTGTTCATCAATCCACCTGTCAAGTGTGACGATTAAGGCAAATTCTCTCGACAATGGGAGAAGCCATGTCTAGCATTGGACTACGAGTCGGTGTACTCGTACGGGGAGGAGTCACTCACGACAAATATGCTAACATGTGTATACATCTTTGTAATAACCTAGAATTAGGTGTCTGTGCACATAACCAGATAAAAAATAGGAGAATTTTGACTGGAAACTGACGCAGATTACGAAATTCGATTATCTCACGAATTTCAAGTTAAAAGATATTATAGTTATTGAATACGTTTTCACAAAATATATCTATCAATAATATTCATAATAATGATTGGTTATGTGATAGGGTTGCTATTGCAAAAATTTAATTGGTTAGTAAAATAAATAACAAATATGAAACATGGTAGTCGGCGAACAGGTGTTGTAATAATATCAGTGTTGCCAGTAATACCTACTCAGTCAAGTTTCTTAACTTTTTGGGGTTGATACGGGTGTATCTTAAGGTAAGCTGGAGCTAAAACTTGGCGTCCGCAGTTATGCCAATGCGTTACATTGGTACACCAAGATTGTGCAATGGCACCAGCTGCATATCACAGTGATATTTTTTGATTCCCCGCATTCCAAGTATTCCAAAAATCATTTATAAAACTATTTAAATACAAAAGTTATTTTTTTTATAGGATAGGGTGACAAACGAGCACACAGTCCACCTGATGGTAAGTGGTTACTGTGACCCATAGACATTTACATCTATCCTCAATAAAACTCAAGATGCAGATGTGTTGTCACCCGTGAGGACCAAGATGGAATGCCTCTTTTCCAGTAAAAAGGGTCTCCGGTTCTCTACACTCACCATACGAAACACAGCAGTATTAAGCTGCTATTTTACGCTGGTATTCTGTGAGAGCGTGGTCCTTCCCCGGTCGAGCCGACCCATTCGTGCTACAACTATACTACTAATATAGCTGCAACATGGCCCCACGTATAAAATCTGATATCTTCATATAGTGTTTACGTACCAATCTTTAAAAGGCAGTCTTATTAGACATTTTTCTAACGTCTTCGTGAAAGGAATTCCAGAGCAGTGCAGCCTGAATGGTGAAGGATTTACTAACAAAATTAGTGAAATCTAGTGGGACCCATAGACATCTCGATTTGTTCTCGATTAAGAATCGAAATGCAGATGCGTGTTGACCACTGGAATACTTAGATGGAATGCCTCATTACTACTTTACTTTACATTATCGTAATAACGGCACCTATTTTAATAAGTCCTTTGTAAGTCAACATTTCAACAAATCCCCATATTGAAGATATGAAGTTACTATTTTTGAAGGGATTTCTGTGTTGATATCTTCATGTCGTGTCTTGAGGCAAAACCTCGATATTGAATCCAAACGATTTCATTTGACGCGTAAAAAGTTAAAACTTGGATACCCAGTTTAAATTGTTGATAGACCAAAATGTACTAATAAATGTAATTATCGCTGTTTTAATATTGTATTTTGTTTAACAAATATGTACTCATATATTTTATTGGATTTTTACAGTGTTTACTTGGGTTTTATCTCGAAACAAGGACAAGCTGCAAGGCGACGTCTTAAAGAAGGTAGAGGATGTCCTTTCAAAATATTCGGAATTAGCTGAACACAGACAGTCATTCGTGATCAAGGAGTTCTCAGAAGAAAACTGCGCCTTCACAAGCAAATTTGAAACGGATTATTTCACAAGCAATTTTTGGTAGACTTTATTGAATATTTTAAACCTGAAAATGTGATAAAAATTACTTCTATTCTTTTAATCTGTACGGAAGTAATGTAAATTTAAAATTATCCGTACAGGCTCCTTTGACAACCCGTATCCTAATAAATGTAATGATTGCTGGGACTGAATAAAAAGCCTTGTTATTTTTTCTTCTTCTGGGAGATGTGACTCGCTGAGATTTCGAATTCGGAATGCCCTTCTGTTCGCGACACTTCGTCTTTTATTTTAAGTGTGCAGTGTTCTGTGAAGTTAGTGTTATTTTTGAGGGCTTACCGCTCGATATGAATTTCACAGTACGCAAGCAATACCGAGTGCAATCCTCACCAGCACCAATGAAATTGTTAATTGTGATTTTAAATACTTTTAATCCGACTTCAAAAAACTTAGGAGGTTCTCAATTCGACTGTATTTTTTGCATGTCTGTTAGCTCAGAACTTTTTTAAGTGAACTGATTTAGATGATTTTTTTATTTGAAACCTGGTAATTCTCATGGCGTCCCGTATAAATTTGATCAAAATCTGACCACTAGCGGGCCTTTCTCACTCCGCACTTTAGGCATGAAGATATACCTACGCTGCGTGGTCCACTACAAGGGGCTAATTCCATGAGGTTGAGGTGACGCGCGCCTTACGTTAACAAAAAAGTATTTTAATACAGTTACTCAAAAAGTGACGTATTGCAGGGACGTATAACGTTCAGGATGTGGGCTATTACATTCCGACCCTCACCTTCGGCTGCGCCTCGGCTGGGGTAGACATTTGTCGGAACTCTTTGCAATGACAGGCTCTCCGCACTCGTAATGAAATATACATAGGCTGCACTAAAAGTATCGGGAATAGAATATTTCCACTGTTCCTGTCATATTAAAATGTTTTTGATTGAAAACTCCTTGGTTTTAAAAATCGAATACCATTTATTTATTTAAAAAAAGATTCTCGGTCTTGTCACAAGGTTTTGTCAAACTTGTTTAGTAGTTGAGAAAATGGAATTGACTCGAGAAATTTCAGGAGCGATGATTTATTATGACTTTCGAAGTGGTTTAACACAAAAACAGTATGTGGACCGGATGATTTCTGCATTTGGTGATGAATCCCCATTCCAAAACCACAATTTATCGCTGGTTTGCTGAATTTCAACGTGGACGTGTCAAGCTCAGTGATGATCCCCGTCAAGGTCGTCCAAAAACTGCAGTCACCCAAGAAAACGTTGATGCTGTGCGTAAGCTGATTGATGAAGATCGACATGTGACATACCGCGAAATTCAGGCAACTTTAGACATTGGCATGAGTCAAATACAAATAATCTTGCATGAAAATTAGGTGTAAAAAAGTTGTTTTCCCGATGGATACCGCATTCGCTCTGTGAAGAGCAAAAAGCGGCTCGCGTTACTTGGTGCGTCAGAACTCTCGAAAGATTCCACGCAGGATCCTCAAATGCTGTATACAACATCGTATCAGGTGACGAATCCTGGATATATGCGTACGAACCCGAAACAAAAAACCAGTCACGAGTTTGGGTGTTCGAAAATGAGTTAAAGTCAACAAAAATTTCTCGTTCACGGAGTGTTGCAAAAAAAAATGGTGGCCGCGTTTGTCTCCAAAACCGGCCATGTTACGACTATTCCTCTTGAGGGACAAAGAACTGTTAATGCAGAATGGTATGCTAACATTTGTTTGCCACAGGTCGTTTCTGAACTCCGTAAAGAAAACTGCAACCGCCACATCATCCTCCATCACGACAATGCAAGTTCTCACACCGCACACAGAACAAAAGAGTTTTTAGAGCAAGAAAACATAGAATTATTAGACCATCCGCCGTACAGCCCCGACCTAAGCCCTAATGATTTCTATACTTTCCCTAAAATAAAGAATAAATTGCGTGGACAGAGATTTTCATCACCTGAAGAAGATGTGGACGCCTACAAAACGGCCATTTTGGAGACCCCAACTTCCGAATGGAATGGTTGCTTCAATGATTGGTTCCATCGTATGGAAAAATGTGTCAAATTTCGCGGAGAATACTTCGAAAAGCAATAAATACATTTTTAAATAGTAATGTTGTGTCACTTCCTTAATTCCCGAAATTTTCAGTGTATTGTCTCTCATATGCATTTAGGCACTTTTGATATTTATTTTTGAGTTTTTATTCAACCATGGCCTCTCAAAAACCTAAAACGTACTGCATAGCATGCGGGTGCTTAAATAACAATAGGAATGTTGATTTTCATTTTTTACTGTTCCTAAGGATACGAAAGGTATTATAGTCCGGCCGCTGAGTTATTACCGATTTGACACATGACGAATTGACAATACTAGTGAAGTGACTGAACCAGTAACCCTAATATCATTTGGGAACAGTTTGTTTTTAAATATTCTAGTATAGTGTGTAATTAAATAAAATCAATAATAGTTAAAGACACAGGTTCTTTATTAGGTGGAGTATCCTTGATGGGCGTAGATAATTGGTCGAGGACATATCAAAATAAAACAAATTTGTAAACACTGTTACACATTTTAATGAATAGAGTAGGTACAAGATGTTTTAATAAATGACTAACTATCATTTATTAAAACAATTATTCAGACTCTGAACCAGATTCGCCAGAGCTGTCATCGCTATCAGTCACTTGTATGACAATTTCATTCTCTATAATGGTGTCCACTCTTATATCGCGTTCATAATCTTCTGTTATTAGTTTTCGAGTCTTTTCGACGACCTTGACCCAATCTTCTGTCGTTATTTTGCTGCAAGCATCTTTTAATAGACTCATCATTTTATTAGTACTGAATGGCGGAGTCGTATTATTACGAGCTGCGTAACCTGTAATGTAAACATTAAATAACGTTAATTTATTACATTAAATAAACGAAATGTTACACAATTACCTACATGTAAGGGACATGAGATATTTATTTCTTAGTTATGTATCTTTTTACTTATATGCTGAATATTGGATGTTATAATAGTACAAATTATTCATATTCATAACTTATGCGATATAAAACAATACCTTTGATTTGTGCCAATGGCATTGTACTGGCAGTGATAAGGCGGAATTCGAAGTACCCGATGTCCATGTGCTAGAGCTATCTCATCTACTTCATAACGGACTCTTGATGTTTTATTTTCGCGTACCAACTTTACTAAGACTTTAGCATTTCGGCAGTAGTTTCAATTCCATTTTGGTGTAGCCATGCTACGAGATCAGCTTTCTTGTCGGCCTGAGTAGGCGCTTTACTCACTTATTTCGAGTGATATGAAGCGTTGTCCATTATTATGATAGAAGGCTCTGGCAGGCTGGGTAATAATTGATTTTCGAACCAATTCGTAAAAGTGTCTGTATCCATCTCCTCGTGGTAATCGGAAGTACTTTTTGACGCGAAAGCCAGCAGTCCATTTTCAAAGAAACCACTTCCAGCAGAACCGGCGTGACCAATTTTCAGTCGCGATCCTTTTCCAATTGGAACCTTTGAGGTTGATGCTTTTGTTTCGTCAGTCCAAGAGCGTGACACAGTGTGGTTCGCATTTAACCATGTTTCGTCAACAAAAACGACGTTGTCCCAAGACTCGATTTTTCTGGCTTCTCTTAAAAATTCGCTCCTTTTAATTATTAAATCAAATCTTTCCATTAATATTTTCCTTTTATTCGTTTTTTTATATTCAAACCCAGTTTCGTGCAATAGTTTTGACAACGCCGTTTTACCGCCTTTAAACAAGCCAGCTTCTTTTAAAGAGATCAAAAGCAAACGTCTAGTTGGAAACTCGTTCCTAGTATAATAACCATATATGTGGTTTCTTATTGCATCTGCATCAAAAACATCAACACCTGTCACGGGCTTTTGTCTTCGTTTTTTTCTTAGGAGTGCGTAAAACATTATCTTCACTTCCAGAAGCACCAAATTTTTCTTTATTTATATTATATAGTGTTTTTGCACCAATTCCAAGAGCTTGTGAAACCCGATCTTTCACTTGAGTGACAGGAATCAAAGGGCCGCCATTTTGTGACTCACGCTCAAAGTAATCCTGTAGCTTTAGTACAAGCTCACGACATTGACTATTCAATGTTTTTCCTCGTTTCGGCATTTTCAACAAAATTACCAGACACAAACAAAATTAGTCCAATAAAGCGCAACGATAAACAGGAGAAAGCCGAGTCAAAAAACAACGGTTACACAAGAGAACGTAGTCTGTGCGCACGAGAGTACGGAAGACGACTAAACAGATTAAAATAGCGGTGGTAAGGGTGTTGCCAGAATAGTATCGCCAATTACTTAAAAAAATACACCTATAACATTGCTTAATTGAGGGAGAAAATTATATTTATTAAATGTTGTTTTATATATTATGAATGTTAAAAATTATACATAATCATTTTAATTGTATTTATTTTTAAATCATTGAAAACAGTATTTCTGTCTTTGGATCACACATAAATCTTTAAAATCATAGAGATACTGGCAACACAGTGCAATTAGGAGACGCAAAAAAATGGTAGCATTATAGTCTAGTTGCTCGAAGGAATAAGTAAAATAAAAATATCCAAATAAAATAAATATCATATCTATTCCAATGAATTCGGACCGAATACTATCAAGCACATCACTATGAAAACTAGACGCACGATGTAATTTTGTACAAGCGCGCCAAAGAACAAAAAAATAAATGTTTTCATATTATTTACAAACTATTTAAACTTTTGAAACAGAGTTTATTGGAAAATTACTTGATTCTGACATTTTGACATAAAGTTTTATATTAAAGAGATATTCTAAATCATTCGGCAAATGTGTCGCTCGTGCAAGGTTATATCGATTAATTTAAGAATAATCTGTCAAATCGGTAATAACTCAGCGGCCGTACTATACCTGCGGTTGGCACCTACGACACTTATCGAGTTTTACTAAATCCAGGTAACGTACGTTGTTATATGACAGAATATGTATTCAGATACTCAACATTCCTTTATAAATGTAAATCAAT